CACAACCAGTCCTGGCTCTTCTATTCCCAGATTTATTTTCTCTATAGCACCTGTCACCACCTCTCACGAATTTTTAAGTGTCTAGTCTTTTACCAGCTGTCTCTTCCCAGGCCATCCAGCCTGTAAGGCACCACAAAAGAGGGGACCTGTCTGTCCTACTCTCTGCTGTGCATCCAGCTTTTAGGAAACTGCTTCGCACACAAGGAAGCTCAGCGAATGCTTGCTGCAAGAAGGAATGACCAAACACGGGAGCAGAGATAAAAGCGTCCAGAGAGGACAAGGTGACATGACTACCTGCTCCAGGACCCAGAGTGGTGACTCTGCAGGGCCCCTTCCTGGGAGCCCTGCAAACTCCGCAGCTCCTTCCAACCCCAGGACCACCCCCCGGTGTGCCATAGACTTCCCTGTCCCCACCCCAGCCTTTACCCCAAAGAGAGGACCTTCTTCTCCATAAGACTTACTCTAAACCTCCAGGAGTATGAGCATTCTCACCACCTCTAACCTGCTGGTTAGCACATCTGTAGGGCTGGGCTGCAGTATCTCACTTTGCCACCAGGAGGTGTTGCCTAATAAACTCTGTACCCAATCCGCAAGCTGCTTCAGAATAACTATGCCCTCGACTTTAATTTCATTTCTGAAATTATGTCTTCAAAGGTGTTTCCTTAAGTGAAGTTTTCCTGGAGTAGGGAGCGATAGGTAAGTGACTAAATGACAGGTGATAGATGGGTAGAGCCACAAAGAGATCTATTGGTCTTTTTTTTTTAATCACCATCCTAAAAACACTATCCATTATCAGTGGGTACTTCTTTACCATCTCCAATAACTTTGACTCTCCTGAAAACCAAAGATCCCCCAGGTAAATGAAAAATACTCTGAATTTGTTAGTTTTAAATGAAAAAGTTAAACATTATAATTGGTGTACAGCTTTTTATAAGAAAAATATAAATCCACAGGTTGGGCCCCTCTGTCATGTGACTTTTCTAACCTCTTTAAGATATCCTCAGTGCAATTCCACTTTGTCAGGAGGAACCACAAGCAGCTGAAGAGGAAGAAGGAAGCCTGCCCATCTGACTTCCACAGGAATTTCCAACACCCATCCTCATGACCCACTTTATTAACAGCTCAAAAACTACATCGCACCCCTCCCCCCACCTCCCCAGTCCGCACAGCCGGTGTCCAGTCGCAGCTACAAGACACCCCCGTCTGGTTCCCTGGTCACCCTCATCTCCACCTCACACCTGCCGCACCACCAGCAGTTTCGGACGGCTAGATCTGCAACTAATGTTCTAGGACCCCGACAAGATCCCCAACGTTTTGGCAAAGACAAGCCATACTCTGGTTCTCAGAAACCTTGATGTGACCTGGGTGGGGGAGGACAAGGAGCGTAGCACGAGACAGGTCCACACTTGCGAGAGGCCCCTGGCCGGGAGGCGATGGAGGGCCCAACAACATCAACAGAAGGTGTGGTCCAGCGAACGTGCAAGTGGCAGCCACACTGCTGGGAGGGCGGCAGCATCCGGATCCAGGTCCGGGGTTCTCCAGCTTTGGTGTGCACAGGCCCTCTCACTGCGGAGACTTGTAAAATGCAGACTCCTGGGTCCTGACCCCCCACCCCCCCACCTGGCATTCTGAGCCAGGGTCTGGGGTGAGGCTTAGGAATCATGAATTAAAAACTACACCAAGTGATTTTACTGCTGGTGATTTCACCGCAGACACTTTGAAAAGGGAGGCGCAGATGGCCCCCATTCGCTCACACTGCCTCAGGGTACAGGCTGGGTTCAGCTCCAGGAATCCCACTGCAGGAGGCTACAGGCAAACTTCTAGAATGTGTCCAAGGCAGCAAAAGGTCCAAACTCCTTTTATCTGAGGAGCAGCTGAAGGATCTGTGGGCATTTGCCCTGGTCGGAGGGGCCGGGGGCAGGTGAGAGAGGGAGAGGAGCATACAAATCCTACATGGGTGTCAGGTTCTCCCCAGCTCCTCCATCCATCCCCACTCATGCTGTCCCCATGGTTTGCTTTCTTTCCTGTAATGAAGAGGATAAATGGCAAGGATACACAGCCTTCCCTTTCAGACCTCAATTCTCTGTTGACTCCGGAGCCCCCAACAGTGGAACAAGCAGTCGGTCCCCAGGAAGAGCAGGCCACCAACAACTGGAGGACAGCAGAGCCCAGGCTAAGGAACTGGACACAGTGCCCTCTGTGTGCCCACTGTGGGTGCACCGACCCCCCCATCTGTCCTTGTCCTCCTTTCCTCCAGTGGTACAGGGCCTCTGGAGGCCTGGCAAGCAGATGAAGAGATGCATAGAGGTTGCATATATATGGGAATAAACAAGAAAAAAAGGCTGGTGCATCCCATAGGTGCTCCATTCCATACACCTGTAAACTCCTGGGTGTTCCGAGGGAACTTCCAAGATGACCGCCAGGCACTGTGGCAAACCACTGGGATGGAGCCCTGTCCTCGGAGCGCGAGGAAGAATCCAAGAAAAGACTAACACATTGAGAGCAGACCCCGGAGAGAGACCAAGGGAGTGGCCCAAATGCTCCTCCAAGGCAGATCATCAATGAAGGACAAAGGGACTCCAAAATTTTTTTAAAAAGTGGGAGCAATAAAAAAGAAAAGGTCTGTGATAATCTTGTGGACTGTAAGCACTCGTGGCCAGCTGACAGCGACATCAGACTGTGGCCCAGGCCTTCCAGGCGGCCTCGACACAGCCGAACGCTCCACACGCACGAAGCCGCCCTTCCCACAGCGCAGCTTCCCATCTGGCTCCCACGGCCCCGCGCCGGCCTCACCTGGCCACTCGGCCCGGGCTGCCCCGGCCTCCCAGTCTCAGTTCCACCTCTCGGCCCCGGGCAGTCATCCTCAAACACAAACGCACTCCCTCCTTCCCCGCCTTTCCCCAGCACTCACGACGGAATACTTAGTGACCACTTTTTAAAACAAACATTTCTTATATCATGAGTATAATCGTCATTCCTTAATTCACCTTTTACAAATCATGAGATTTTGTTTTTTTATATTTAATACTAAATTTTTCTAACCACAGAAAGGAAGTTTTCTACAAAGCAATGTTTTCCACCACAAAGCGTAAGAAATGACATGTGAGAGAAGGAAAGAGGGAGAGGAGGAGAGACAGGAGAGGGGAACCGCACTGTCCGGGTCGCACTGAGAGATCTTCGCATCCTCTGTCCGGGTCGGCCTCCTCCCCAAGAAGTCCTGTGGTTGTCTGTCAGGTCTTCTTCATTCCCTGATCTGTTCCTGTTTTGTGTAGTAAATTCCCATGACCTGTAACCTCCCAAAGAGCACTGCAGTTTTACAAGTGACCCTGAGAGGGATTCCCTTAGCCAGCTTCCTGCTTCGACCAGGCAGGAAGGTGGCCTGCCCCGCACTCCCACCCCCTTCCCCCAGAGACCCCTCTCAGCCCCAGTCCGCAGCGGCCCCCAGTCCGCTCCTGGCTCTCTGGGACAGGAGCCCACGCAGGCCCCCAGAGCACCCTGTGGAGTTCAGGCCAGTCAGACACCAGGACAGTCTGTCATTTTCTGAGACTGCCCACTGTCCTAGGTTTCACGCCACCCCCCACCCCACCCAGTGCTCCCCTAAATGGGGCAGATGCCTCTGGAATGGTACAAAAGGGACTTCTAGGAGGCACACAGGCCAATAATTTTAAGATTTATGATTTATTTTGATTTGTACAAAAGAATACTAGAATAATTACTAAAAACATTTTGGAACTATGATTTCACAGATGCTGCCTAAGGAGAGGCTAAAGAAAAGGTGGGAAAGAAAGGTGAGCCCGTTTAAACTATGTATGAAGCAGGCAATGCTACAGGTGGTTCTAGGACACTGGCAAAAACCGTGCCATGAAGGGCAAGTTCAGACAACCCGACTTTGGACAGAGACACTGCTGGTGCTCATCGCCTCCTCTCTCGGGTGAGATGGAGCGTTTAAAATGCCAAGCACAGAACCTGCTGCCAGGAGGTGTTCACACTGAGTGCCTGCCTTCCCAAGGTCACGCCCGGCTGACTGGCATCAGAGCCAGATCCTTGCCTAGCGCCTCTCCATAAATTCCCATCCGTAACCTCAAGCTGAGACAGTCTCCCCAGCCACATTTGAGACCCCAGTGCTCTCGAGCCACTGGCATGTACTCACCATGGGCCCACAAAGCAATAAACAAAATGTGTCTCAGGCAGCAGCACAGACAAGCATGAGCTCATCTGATCCTCACTGTGACTTGTGTGCTTTTAGTAAAGGTGGCAGTGTCCAGAGAGGTGAAGTCACCTGTCCAAGGTGACCTGGTAGATGGCTGAGGCCCAGATTTGAGCCCAGGCCTTTCTGATTCCAGAATGCAAACAATCTCTCAGCCACTAGAGATGGCCCCCATTCTGCCTTTCTCTTATTTTATTCCCTCCAGGAGGGGCAGAGCCCTGAAAGGGTCCCCTACCAACCCAGCTCTGTCCCCTGAGACCCCAAGTCCATGTCTAAATAAACTTGTGTAGAAAACTTCGTTCTTCCCCTTTTCCTGGATGGCTCCAGAAGCCCCCTATTTCTTCCATCTCCCAAAGCCACCATCCTCTACCCCTGGGCCAGGACAATGGCCTCCAACAAGTGTCCCTTTCATTCCGTCTTCAGCACAGCGGCCAGCAGCCCTCCTCTACTCAAAACCAAGAGGCCACTGCCCCCATCACCCCATCAGAGCCCGAGTCCTCCCTGGGACTGGCCGAGACCTGGCCTCCCCCTGCTGGGTCTGCAGCCCTGCCCCACCTCGTTCCCCCAGCCTCTTCCTCTGCTGCCCTGCCTGCTTGCTGCTCCTCAGACTCACTAAGCACTTCCCACTCCCACTTCCCTCTTGCTACTCCCACCACCCAGATACTCTCGGCAGCTGCTGCACCAGCTCTTTCAAACCTTAAGAACGGTGTGCCCGCCCATCCAACAAAAAATCCCAGCCGCCCCGGACTCCCTACGCCTCTTATTGTGTTAATATACTGTGTTAATGACTTACCTCCTCGGACACTGTACAATTTACTTGTCTGCTTGTCATGGAACAACACAAAGATGAAATGAAACCTGACCCTATCTGAGCCCCCGCTTCACTGAGTCTCAGGCAGCCAAGCAGACAAATGGTATCAGCTCATTTAAGCCTCTTCCTGCCAGAAAGGAAGCACCATAAGGGCAGAGATTTTTGAGCTGCTTTGTCTCTTGCATTCGGTGACACAGACAGTGTGTACGGATGCCCTGGGACCCTGCCGGCGCCTACTGAGCACACAGTGAACACTGGCTCAGCGAGGGTGTCACACAGCAGCAATACTGGGTGGGGTTACATGGGCCTTGAACTTGCTCCCTGCAAAGAAAGCAGAGCTCCTTCATGCTGGCTCTCCAGAGCGCCCCCCAGGGGCCAGCAGCAGCCCGTGGCTTCCCCTCTGCGAGCACTAAACTGCTTTGGTCTGAGGTCCCGGGACCTGAGGTCCTTCCCTCGAGCTTTAGAAAAGCACAGACCATTTCACTGAGGAGATGGTTTCACATCCCAGGGAGGCGACAGCTGGGCCCCAGGGGAGTGCCAGGCCATTGCTGCCCGACGCCCCACTCCAACCTGCTGGCTGCTCAAGGCTCAGCCTAGCAGCCATGGGTAGAAAAGTGAGACCACTTTGCTAATCGAAAAAAAGTAAAAACTGGGTGAGCTGTACATGTAGAGCCAGCCAACGGGCCATCAAGGTCACCAATTCAACCCTCATGCTTCAGACAGGAAAGCCGAGGCCCAGTAAGAGGGAACAGGGCTCTGCCCACGCCAACGGCACGTGCCTGGGAGAGCCAGCTCCAGAGCCAGGGCCAGGCCTTCTCAGACTGCCCCGCGGCAAGGCAAGACTTGGGTGAAGGCTTCCCCACCTTCAGCTGGACGCACCTCCTCTCTGCCCTCGGCGACAGATTCTGGAAGTGCCGGTTAGTCTTTGGCCTGCATTCTGCAGGATGGGGAAGAGTGCAGTGGGCCCAGGAATGCTCAAGCTTGCCCTCAGTTTCCCTTCTCTACTATTCTCAGGGCGCTGCCTCCTGACACGAGGGTGGCAGGACCCACAGCAAGAAAAGGGGGTCCATACCAGTGCTCGGGAGAAGGCAGGCTGGGAGAGAGACCAGCCTAGGCGAAAGCTCAGCAAGATCCTAGAAAGATACACACACCCCAGGCCAGAAATGCTCTTGCAGGTGTGCCACCTGGCGAGACCCAAGCACCTGTGTATACGCACAGGTGCACCTGCATGTTCAACGCAGCAGTGTTTGTGATGACAAAACACTGCCGCTGCTCAGAGAGAAAACCCACGAACTGGGGTCTACCCGTGACAGAATCCCACACAGCAGTTACAATGACCAAACGAGACCTACGTGCACCTGCCCGTAAAACCCTCACAACCATAATGTCCAGTGAAGAAACACCAAAAGGATATGGAACGACATTTATGTAAGTGTTTAAAGTGTGAAAAGCGCCCTGGCTCAGGTGGCTCGGTTGGTTGGAGCATCATCCTATACACCAAAAATGTCTCCAGTCAGGGCACATGCCTAGTTGCAGGTTCGATCCCTGCTTGGGGCACATACAGGAGGCAACCAATCATTTCTCCCTCATGTCTCTCTCTCTCCCTCCATCCCTCCCTCTCTGAAAAATAATAAATAAAACTAATAATAAAAAATAACACGTAAGAGTCAATGAAATATACGTATCTATATGTAATGTATATGTGTATATGTATATAGTCTGTATTTCTCATGGACACAAATATATGTGGTAAAAGCACAAAAACACAAATTCCATAATGCACACTACCCTCTCGTGTGACTGAGAACACCTCTGGAGAAGGGAGAACGCGGAAGAATCACGGGTGGGCTTCAGCTAATCTATAACATTTCATTTCTTTTTAAAAAGTAAGTAAATACGGTAAAATGTTAGCTCCTACTTAACCTATATAGTAGAAAAATAAGTGTCCATTACATTTTTTTCTGAATTTTCCTATATCTTGATGTTTCATAATTTAATGTATAAAAAATAAAATACTAGCCCTGGCTGGTGTGGCTTAGTGGATTGAGCACTGGCCTGCAAACCAAAGGGTCCACCAGTTCAATTCCCAGTCAGGGCACACGCCTGGGTTACGGGCCAGGTCCCCAACAGGGGGCACATGAGAGGCAACCACACACTGATGTTTCTCTCCCACTTTTTCTCCCTCCTTTCCCCTCTCTCTAAAAGTAAATAAAATCTTAAAAAAATAAAATACAAAAAACACTAGAATTTTAAAAATAAAATACTGTATAAGAGGAGAAAAGGCAGAGCTATACAGTGTGAATTAGCTGGCAAAACTCTTCACACAGTAACGGGAAGCAGAGAGTGAGCCCTGAGAAGTGCGGTCGCCGGGCCCCGGTTTCCACGTGTTAACTCGTGAGCGTGGGGCCGTTCGGGATTGCCGGGTGCACCTGGTGAAGAGTCGCGGAAGGGCTCCTGGGAACCACTCCAAAGAAGAAAACCACACACACGGAGGTGTTCTCAGTGGTCTTGTTGAAAGCGTGACACCTCAGAAACTCACAGGACGGTTTACAAAAGAAACACGATAGTAAGTTACACCACAGCCACACCATCAGTGAGCACAAGAGAAGACGAAGATGGGAGAATGTTCATGAGACGCGCCCACGAGCGGGCCCCAGGTCAGGGCTGCACGTGGACACGGCTCGCGGGGAACATGGGACAGCTACAGCATCTCCTTAGATTGGGAGTTTTATACTCTGCAGAAGCAGGTCACGATGGGCTCCCAGCGGGGCCCTGTCCTGGCTCCCGGCCGCCCACTTTCCTCTAATCACTCTCTCCTCCCGCGTCCTCACACCCACTTCAGACCCTGGGACTCAGACTCCTCAGAGCTGAGTGGTCTCATGGGGAATGAGAAGTCCCTCTCGCATTTCCAGGCCACAGCGAACGGTCCGCACGAGTCAATTCCAGATGCCGTGCACAGCACAGCAGAGGGCTCCAGGGCCACAACTCCAGAACCAGGCAGCTGAACAGCAAGGTCATGGTTCGTCTCCTGCAGCCAGCTGCCTGAGACAGACTTTTCACTTGAAGTAAAGAGAAATGTTTTCATTTCACATTTGCTCTCAGTCTTGCGATTCTCTGAGCAAGTCCTCTCAGTAAATAACTTCTGTTGCTCACGTTTCTGATCAAAGCAAAAGCTGCTCCAGGCGTCTGAGACCAGACAAGCGAACGGAACCAGCCTACACAGCGCCTTCTGTCCTCTGCAAACCCTGCCCTTGACCTCGATGAACTGCTGAGCTTTTCACTCTTCGCTGAGAAGGGAGTCACCAGGTGGACTGAGTTTCAACTGGAACCCATGAAAGAAACGACAGTCAGACAGGTCTCGGAGGCGCCCGCCATCAGCTGTCCGCAGGGAGCACCTTCTGTTGCAGAAGGCAGGCTGCCCTGAGCCATGCTCCCTGCGTGCACCTCGTATGCCCTACCCACTGGCCCCTCCCGGCTTGAGGAAGGCAAAGGCACAACCGGGCCCTGAGTGACTAATCAGGGTCCCGAGACTCTGGTTGTGACTCGGAGGTCACCAGTGACTGACCAAGCCTCACCAGTTGCCAGTGGCCCATCCCTGGAACCCAGGACCAAAGTCCTACCTACACCAACCACAGGTTAAACGGATCTTTTAAAATCAGTCGTCAGCTGCTGAAATGACAAGCACCTCGCCCTGCCGACCACAGAGCACAGGCCCACTTCCCTCTTTTCTGCAGGGAGCAGACTGGGGACACGGGGCATCACGCTGCCTAACCAACCCCTCTGGGCTCAGCCACCACCTCACTCCGACTTGGCACAGCCATGGAATACAATAAAGTCTGTGAACCAGGGGATCTCTGTGCCAAACTTGCTCTTTTATATGACAAACCTGAGCATCCATACAGCCAGCAACAAGGTTGTGAGGTGGGTGCTACTAGTCTGCCCCTTCTGCCGATGGGGAAGGAGTCCAGAGAAGACAGACACCAGCTCCTGGCCTCACGGAAGGATGAGGCAGACAGAGCTGGAATCCACAGCCAACGGCACCTCATTCAAGAAACCTGGGCCCACCCCTGGGCTAGGCTGTCCCGGGAGAGAGATGAGACCTGGGCCTCCCCTCAAGGCCTCGCCTCTGGCAGCTTCCCCACAACTGCAGGCAGAGTGGGGATAACAGAGGTATCAGAAACCCCACTGAAGGCCGCAGATCTTCAGAGACTGTGGACTCTCCAGGCGGGTGTGTGAGCTGCACTCAGAGGTGAGTTGGACAGTAAATCAGCAGAAGAGTCATCGGGGGCACCCACTGTGTGTGGTGTGGGTCAGCTCGTGCAGTGGGAGTCCACGCCCCGGCACCCAGAGATCCGTGTAACAGGCCCAGTGGAACAAGCGTTGATGGCATGCAGACCAAGGAACGGGACAGCAGCAGGACTCCCGCTGCAACCACCCCCGTCACATTCATGGGCTGGGCCTCCAGGGGGCCGAGCAGGGCTGGACAAAGGGGCAGCAGGTGCCTTACAGAAGGCCTGGGGGCCTGCACCTGAGGAGGCCCCCTCAGCTTTATTCTGGAGCAGCTGCTCAGTGGGGCGTGGAGCAACGCCATTCAATGCACACAAAACAGAGGCAAAGGCAGGGCAGTCCCAGGTGCGGGAGGAAAATGTGTCGGGCTAAGAACAAAACAGAAGGCAAACAGCACACAAAGACCAGCACAGCCCACAACTGGCTTCGGAAACGCAGGGAGGGGAGGCAGGCAGGGAGACCCCAGGGCAGGAGACCTGGTCCAGACCCCTCGTCCCCCGACCAGCTGTGTGGCCTGGAACCAGGTGTTTGGCCTTTCTGGGCCCCGGGGTCCTCCCAGGCTACATGAAGAGACAGGACTGCATGGCCGTTCCGACTCCCTCCAGCCCTGACCGCCTGTGACGTGCTGCCAAACGAGGGCAGCGGGGCTCCCAACAGCTCGGTCCTCTAAGCTCCCACAGGCTGAACGGAGGTGGCCGGCTGGTCCTAAGGGCAGAACCTGGAGGAGGAATGAGGGCTCTGCCCCATGTGTGCTCTGAGGTTCCCCCCACACACACCACTCAGCAGGCCCTGA